CACCACCCCACCCCACCCACCCACCCCCACCCCACGAACCCCTCAAGGCGACGCGCTCGGCGCGAAGCTGATCCAGCCCGCCGAGGTCAACGGAGCGCGGCAGCCCAAGATCTCCCGCATACTGCTCCAGCACTTTTGTCAAATTATCGCCGCCGAGCCAGTCGGGCGCTGCCATTGATGCCTTTCGGTGCCCCTAGACGCCCGCGGTGCCGACTGCCCTTGCCCCCCGAAGGCCCGCGGCGCGCGCCTCGGGGCGCTGGCCGGGCTGTCCGCCGCGCAGGTGCACGCGGAGAACGAGGCGCAAAAGGTGGCAAGGCAGAGTGCGTCGAGGCGACGCAGCACGGCAATTGGGCGCTTCGAGGAGGAGCGCCCTTTCGCGGCGACGGCAAAGGTCCCCAGCGAATCCGCGAACATGCGCGCCCTCGAGCCGAGGGCCTTGGAAACGGACATATTCCAACGAAGCGCGCTGCGCACAATCTGAAGTTCCAGTTCACTGACGACGCGGGGCCGCTGAAACTTCGCGGCCGCCGCGCGGTGCCGCGCCTGGCGTCTCTGGTCAACGCTGACCCGCGGCCAGGCACTGTAGCGACACGCGCCATGGAAGAGCCGGACGACGTCGCAACCTCGGCGGTCAGCTCGGCGCAATAGCATGATGCTGCCCATGAGCTCGTCGGAGCTGCGCTCCGAGGGCGGCTGAGCGGGCGGCCCGAATCCCCACGCCTCTGCTTCGCAGGGAGCTCGCGATCCAACCTCCGACTGATGGCCCGGCTGGAAGGCCTTCAGTTTCGCCGCGCACTTGTAGAAGACGCGCTGGACAACGCAGGGCGTCGGCAGCTGGTCCAAACAGCCTGCGCGATAGAGCCGCTGGCCTACCAGCCGCGCCGTGGCCGCGGCGTGGCAATCGTTGCCGAGCTGCGAGCATCGCTCGTCTTCAGGCTCGCGCGCCCCCTGCTCATGAAACTTGCCCAGCTCCCGCCTCCCGCCGATCGCGCGCCCTGGCCGACAACCCATGGGCGTCTTCCGCTCGCTCGCCGTCGCCGCAGGGCTCGAGCTCACGGCGCCGTTCCCGAGCTCCTCGGCGCGCGCCGCGTCGGCCTCCGCAGTCATCTCGAGGCGGTGATGCGGCAGATGCTGGCACGGCGGGGACCTATGCCTAAACTCCGCCCAGCGCACGCAATGCCGTCCTACCCCATCGATGTCAATCGGGTCGTGCCCAGGCAGCATGCGAGGCACTGCGCGCGCGAAGGTCGGCAGGCGCTGGCCTGCCCATGTTCTGCCATCGTCGAGACGCGGCGCTCTTGGCTCCAGCAAGGCCTCGTGCTCGACTAGGTGAACGAGGTCACCCGCGGTGACGTTGACTCCCTCCGCGATGGTGGAGTCGGGCCAATGCAGCCGAGCACGCGCCACCGCCGAGACTCCGACGGAGTCGACACACTGTGGATGGCGAGCTTGGGCCTGACGTCACAACAAAGCCCCAAATCTCACAGAAGTCGATTACGGGGGCGCCGTGGAAAACGGCCCTGAACTTGTCCCACGGCTGGGGGACGTCGAAGGAGGGCGGATCCGGTGTCAGAGAGCCCAGTCCTCTCGCGGCCAAGGTCACTGACGCCCCGACAGGGCGGGCCACGCGCGGCGACTAATCACTGCTGTCGAGCCAGGGTACTCGCGACGCAGGTCCTCGAGCTGCTTGCGGCCCACCTGCGCAACGTCGGGCCACTCGCCTGGCCAATTGCGCCGGTGCACCTATCTGGCCGCCGTGTCACAGATCAGCGCAGCCAGCGCAAGCGACGTGCGCGCCGAGACGATCCAAGCTCATGGCGAGTCCGCCGCTGCCTCTAGAAAACTCCACGGCGACGACGCCCCTCTTGCGCAGCGCCGAGGCACCGAAGCGCCTGCACCCTGCCTCAGCGAGGCGCACGCCGACAGGCGCGTCGCCCCCCCGCCCGGGCGCGTCGGCGGCGATGGGGCGACAGTCCAGAGGCCCGCGCATGCTGCTGACGAGCAAGGGGGCGGCCATCATGCCCATGACCACCTCGTCGAACGCGCGCTTGCCAGGCGCCGCCCCCCGCGGGGGGAGGTGCCGCTTGGCGGCTCACCGCCGCGCCTCATCGAGGCAGCCGAGGGCCTGCCGCCGCCGCCAGAAGTTCGGCGCCCAGCGGCCGCGCGAGCCCTGGATCTCCACGAGGGGCGCGCCCGGCTGATCGAGTGGCCGCGCCGCAAGGCCCGCGCGCTCCAGCAGACGCTCGACGGGCGGGGCGGCCTCCCCCACTAGTCCGCCCACCTCGACCCCCTTCCGGCAAGCGGTAGGAAGCCGGACCGCGCCCTTCCCGATTGAAGCGGGAGCCTGCGCGTCCGC